ATTATTGGAGCTCACTGTCTTGAATTCTTGATGGTTGTTTAGTTACTTGCCGTAAAGAAACTACACAAAATTGTGTGCAATGAGCAAACAGATGAGGAGTTCCTTGAGATGGTAAGTTGCATTGGTAGACTACAACATCCCAATATTGTTGAACTCGAAGGCTACTGTGCGGAGCATGGGGAAAGGTTGCTGGTCTATGAGTATTGTGCTATGGGCACACTGCACGATGCACTCCACACACTCAAACAAAACCTTTCGTGGAATATGCGAATCAGTATGGCCCTTGAAGCCGCTAAAGCCTTGGAGTAAGTAATTGTTTTTTGAATTATGTATATTTTTTCTAGCCAGCCGTTGAGTGTATATGTAGTAGGCATTTCTCTATTTTTATAAGCTTGTCAAAACTGCCTATAAGCATTTTTTAACTTATAAGTGAACTGATGACATACTTCTTTGTGCTTATAAGCTGACTTATAAGCTACTTATAAATTAGAAAAAATATGTAGCTCTTACCTACTTATTTTTAAGCTAGTTTTTTTGTTTCTCCGTTTTGACCAAATTATTTACAAAACTATTCCTCACCATGTATGAATAACCCCAAACGACTTTTCTATCATTTAAGTCATTTTACTTTAACAAAATAATATTTGGCTTATAAGCAACTTATAAGTTAAAAAGTGCTTATCAACAATAAGTCAATAAGCACCAACGCAGAGAAATGCCCCCATAATCCTTGTAATTTATTAAACAAGCCAATTATGGTCTATGAATGCTGAAGGTATCTGCACGAGACTTGTGAACCACCGGTTGTTCATGGAAACTTCAAGTCTGCCAATGTTCTCCTTGATGATGATGGTCTTGGTGTTCAGATTTCTGATTGTGGTTTAGATCCATTGATATCATCAGAAGTACTGGGCAGCCAGGTGCTTTTCTTTCTTCTTTCTTTTTTCTTTTTAGGTACTGAAAGAATATTGGAAAATTAACCATGGGTTCTTAATTGGATCAGTTATCTGAACAACTCCTCACAAAATATGGTGCACGCGAATTTGAGTTGGGGATTTATACCTCAACGAGCGATGTGTTCATTTTTGGAGTTGTAATGCTGGAGCTGTTAACTGGCTGTGAGCCATATGACAGGTATAACAACAACACATTTACACATCCCATTGTTTTTTTTTCTTCTTCCCTTCTTTAGTGGAACAAACGGTTTCTCATTGTGTCTATGAATGTGACAAATAGCACGAGGGCTCACGGAGAGCGATTGCTGGTGAGATGGGCAGGGCCCCTGCTTCATGATATCAATGCCTTGACAAATATGGTTGACCCTTCTCTTCGTGGGTCCTACACCCCAAAATCACTCTCACGCTTTGCTGACATCATCTTCCGCTGCATCCAGGTGACGCTCAAGATAAAAGTGCATGTGTTGCAAAATGACTCTTTTGCCCTCTGTGTTTGTGTCATAATTTTGATTGAACTTTTGGGCATGCCTGCAGGAGGCGCCGGAGTTCCGGCCAACAATGTCTGAAGTTGTACAGGACATTGTGAAAATGATGGAGGAGATGATCGGATCTAATGATGGTAATATTGATGATTCGGCGTCGGAGTTGAGGAGTGAAAATATTCAAGGCCACTGAAATGGAGTCTTGATAAACATACCAAACACTTGTTGAAACAAAGGGTAGCTTCTTTCTATCTACTCTACTATACAAAACAGAGATATGGTAAATGAGCTACCCAATGCAATGTTTACACCATCTCTTAAGTTGAAATACTCCCTACATGCAAATATACAGTAGCCCTAGAACATAGAGCCTTTTGGCTTGGTTTGGTTATTTGCGTATTGGCGCCTGAGAACGTAGCTCAAGTGGTCAATAGTGGTTCAAAAGGACGTTGTGACCGGGTTTGACTCTGAGATGTTTTATATGCTTGGATAAAAGTCTTTGCTAGGATTAGAGACAGATCTCATTTTCATCGCTCACTTCAGATTAGGGTGAAAGTAGGAAAAAAATCAATTGAATTGTTATCTATGAATTATGAAACAAACTAATGTTTTTGAGAGTTAGATGTCGTCAAAAGAAGCATGTGTTTGGGACTTGTACAAAATGTTGTGTTTCTCTCTAATCACAATCACAAGACTAGTTCACTCTTTTTATATATTTTTTTTCTTTCTTGTTAATTAGGTTTTGCATGCCTAAATTTTAAATCAAACATCCCCTTACTATTTTTAAAATTTATACTCCATATGAATTAGTACGTTTTTGCTCCAAGCTATGTGAAAATATAAAGAATAAACGAGTTTTATATTTACCTTTTTCAAGCTCTATGACTCTAATGAAGGGGGTTTTGGGTTTATTCGAAAACTTTGGAATCCATTTTCTAGACTCTTCTAAAAAAATAAGTTTAGATTTTTTAAAATATAATGGTAGAAATGTTACTCTATTTGTTTCAAATGAAGTTCACTTTCAATATACAAAATTTAAAACATGTTTAAATGACAAAATATTTGATGATAAAAATGCGTAAAAAAGTTTTATTTAGGAAAAAAATTATAATGATCACACATTAATTTCCTAAAGAGAAGCGAAAAAACATAAATTACTCCGTTTTATTTTTAGAAAATCCAAATGTGATAAATGTAAACTTAATTTTGGAGCAAAGTAAGTAATATGAAGAGTTTTTTTTTCATTTTTATTTTGATCCTATTAAGAATATGTGATATCTTTTTGTCCTATTTAGGACGATTTCTCATACACCACATCCAATCAATTTTTTTAATATATTCATCTTTATTGGACGTTTCAAAAGAATATTTTGCATTTATTTTTTTACTTTTTAATATTTTATTTTAAAAAAAATGAATAAAAGTCAAACTGCAAAACATTTTCCCCGAATAGGAAAATATTTTAATATTCCTCTATCCCATGCATGTTTTGGCGAGAAACATGAGTTATTTTTACAATCAATTTAATAAGTACTACGGAGTACATTATAGGTGTATATTACGGAGTAATGAATTAAAATAGTTTTTAAAGCATTAAAAGGTAAATCTAATTAAATTATTTTGTACTAATATGTAATGTATTTTTTGTCTAAATTATATATATTTTTTAATTTAACATATTTTTTTGTGTAATTTGATTGCAAAAAGTCAAACGGCTACACAAGTATCTTAAAATTTGGATTTTAAAAGTTTTATTTTTTTGAGGAATTTACCTAAATAGTACTAAAACATACTCCATCCGTCCTCATTTAGATTACAATATTTCTTTTTTGACAAGTTTAATATTAAGTCAAATCAAAAAGAAAATTCTCCAAATACCTCCTTTGCTATTAGTGTTCTATACGATACTCTACCATATTGTACAGTGTTTTTGAGAAGGTGGGTGGGACATGAGATAGAAATGTTGATATGGAATATGGAATGTGAGTAGAGGGCACGGGGATGTAGATAAAGATATGGAAAAAAGGTAATTTTGTCCAAAAAAAGAAAAAGAAGGACTATTGTAATCAATTTAATAAGTACTACGGAGTACATTATAGGTGTATATTACGGAGTAATAAATTAAAATAGTTTTTAAAGCATTAAAAGGTAAATCTAATTAAATTATTTTGTACTAATATGTAATGTATTTTTTGTCTAAATTATATACATTTTTTTTAATTTACCATATTTTTTTGTGTAATCTGATTGCAAAAAGTCAAACGGCTACACAAGTATCTTAAAATTTGGATTTTAAAAGTTTTATTTTTTGGGGGAATTTACTTAAATAATACTAAAACATACTCTCTTCGTCCTCATTTAGATTACAATATTTCTTTTTTGACAAGTTTAATATTATGTCAAATCAAAAAGAAAATTTCCCAAATACCTTCATTGTTATTAGTGTTTTGTACGATACTCTACCATATTGTACAGTGCTTTTGAGAAGGTGGGTGGGACATGAGATAGAATTATGGATATGGAATATGGAAGGTGAGTGGGGGGCACGTGGATGTAGATAGAGATATGGAAAAAAGGTAATTTTGTCCAAAAGAAGAAAAAAGAAAGACTATTGTAATCAAATTTGGGACAAGAAAAAGAGGAAATATTGTAATCAAAATATGGACGGAGGGAGTAATTACTTTCCCAATGTAGTAACATACGGAGTATGTATTTATGTTATGATATAGTACCATTGTTCAATGTCCACTTGTCATTGTTCAAGTAAATGTCTATTACTACTGGACACTGTTCAAACTAAATGTCCATCATCACTATGCATTGTTCTTGCACTTAGGTATTATTCAAGTACTATTTAAGGAATAAAAAAGCTTAAGTAATACATTGAAAAAATATATTCCCTCCGTTCCTAAATAAACTTTCCCTTTCGTTTTTTCTTTGTCCCCAAATAAACTTCTTTTTTCCCTTGAAAAAATCATTTTACCCCTTACTTTTTCATACCATATCTATCACATCATACCTTTTTACTAATAATCTACATATCACATCTTACTTTTACACATCACATCTAAGGTATTTTTGGAAAGTCAACACAAAAATATCACTCTTTTAAATCTTCAAAAAGTCAAAAAGGGAAGTTTATTTAGGGACGGAGGGAGTATATATTAGGGAGAAAGACCAAAGTAGGACTAAAACATTGAAAATATACCAAAATAGGACTTCCATGTTTTTATTCCCGAAATAGAACTTACATAACCAAACATGGTCATATACATTACCAAAAAAGTATAGTAATTTGCACATGTACACATCTACATTACCACAATGCAATGTCACATTATCACAGTGCAAAGTCTTATTCCGAAAAAAAAAACATGAAAGTCCTATTTTAGTACTTTTCTCTATGTTTTAGTTCTATTTAAGATGATTTCTATATATTTTAATACTATTTACTACAAATTTCGTTTTTTTTTTAATTTAGGAAATTGAAGTCAAGAAGTTGCTCCACATGAGCTGACCCAACTGGCGAGCCTATATAATCCAAGAGCGCGCATATACCGCGCAAGAACAAGATTTAGCTCTCACTCAGACCGGATCGCATTTGAAAATCTGTTCCAATTTCGCCTATCTTCCTGATCACAATGCCGCATCTTTTCTGTTTAAATCTGAAACCCTAACTCTCCCGTAGATCATAGATCCCATAATTCATTCACACTAATATATTGGGGTTCATGAAACAGATCGATTTCTTCTCACTGTACTGAATCGTTGATATGGCTGGCTATTACAATAACCCGTTTGAAGAAGAAGAAGAAGAAGCCAATCCGTTTGCGGTATTCCCGTTTCCGTGCACTTATGCAAAATTGTATGGATTTGAATCGTACCAATGCTAGTTTGATTGAATTTCCGGATTTTTAATTTTGTGGTTGTGTTAATATTTCACATCTTTACGAGGTTACTTTGGAAAAAAATCATGCTGACTGTTGTTCAAATTTGCGGAGTTTAGGATTGTTTTGTCTGGTTGGATTAGTGAATTTTCGTTATGGAGCTTATGATTTGAGTATTGGGTGAAGTGCATTTGGCTAGACGTTTGTGTATACTGAAAGTTCTGATTGGAAGTTTGTGTTGAGTTGAATTCTGAGCTTTGGAAGGAGGAGTAGTGCATGCTATTAAAGCATTGATGATCTGGTATCGTCTTCCGTAGATGGTATCTTTTTAGTTCATAGAATTAATAGTTTTATCCAATCTTGATATTATCCTCCTTTAGGTTGCTTTCGGTTACATGGCATCGAGAGAATATTGGCTATGCTATGTATGCATGTAATGTATATATTTTTCAGTGTGTGCATGTTTGAATATAGTTTGTGTGTGTGTGTGTTTGTAAATTCTGTTTGTTTGTAGAATTAATTTTCTTCTGGCAATGAGTTGGATTATTTTAATATGTGAATTATTATGACTGAGAGACATGAACTACTAACAATCAAGCATGTGAATGAACATTGGTGAGCTTTAAATGTCATATATTTCTTGAGTCATAGCATGAAGCATATGTTACTCTCCGTTTGATTTTATTCTTTTTTTTGTGGTGAAACTTTCATAACTGCCTCAATTTATGTCTGAAATTTGTTTCTTTCTTCAGGACAAAAGAAGTCGAGGCACAGCTCAATCAAACTATGGTAGCGGTCCATTTTATATGACAGTATGTTTATTCTATTTCTTTTTAATCATGCCATCTGTTCGTGATCCTTTACTTCCTGAAATCGTTGCTACTTTACCATTGGAAAAAAACTTCTTTTTCATGATTGTATTCAAAACCTATAAATGAAGTCCAATTTGGCTGCTGGCATCTTAGCATTAACGAAACGATGGCACAATTGAAAAATTGGTATTGATGACTAGCTGAACATGATATTTGAATTTGGGAATTATAATGGTACTCAGGTACTGATGGAATTGTTATTGGCTACTTAGTTCTTGTTCTCCCAATGCTAATTTATTGGCCCCTTTTCGCCTCCAATTGTGTTCTCTCCAAAGGCCCAAATAATTGAATTTATTAAAACTCATTTTTAATTCTAACATAATGCGGAGCAAGACATCTTTACTTGTTTATCAAGTGGCAGTCTGGCATTGCTAGTGAGGAGGATGATCCCTCCCCCTCCCCACCCTCCCAAAAAAACAAAGTACCTGCATTTGAACACTTCGGTCCTTTCAAAATTACTACTCAATGCCAATATGTTAGCTCAGTCTAAAATAGTGTCCAATAAATTACAAGTATAATTTACCCTCATTAATTCAAATTTGGCCCCCTTATATTTTATTTTTTGGCTCCGTCATTGCATATAAACCTCTCTCTTTTGAAGCTGATGCTTTCACGCGAATTGGAGACTGTAATTTTTGCACATGAGACTTTTAGCAGTTACTCATGCTTTATTGTTTCTGAAATATCCAGAATCATGGGACTGTTCCACCTGCATCAAACTCAAGTCTCTCTCCTCTTCCACATGAACGGGCTGGCTATGAGTTTCGGAATACGGTGGATATTCCTATTGATAGTGCCAAGGTGGAAAACGATAACCGGTGCTACTGTCTTTTTTCAAGGATTCTAGTTTGTGTTTGGGAGTTTGGACCCCATCTCCTCTCTCCGAAGTCCTAATCCCTTGATATGGTATAGGATCCTTTTTTTATTTGTGTTGAAGTATCTTTGTTTGATTTTATAGATGCAGGATTTAAAGAAGAAGGAGAAGGAAATTCAAGCTAAGGAAGCTGAACTGAAGAGGAGGGAACAGGTTGGATTCTGGATATTGTGTCTTTATTTCTATTATTTGGCGTATCATTCTTTTGAATTGTGATACTATAATTCCCTAAAATAATCCAGCTCAAAATTTGTAATGGAATCTGATGTTTTGAAATTATTGCTCCCTCCACCCCTAAATAATTATCGTTTACTATTCACAAAATAACAAGGTCAAACTATACTCACTTTCTTTACCTATTTTCATTGATCATTTGATACAATAAAATAGTCTTGTTACCACTTGTTTTGTAGAACTTTTGAAGTAGTTTTTTAATTTATAAGTTTTATTTATTAATTATACACCAATATTTATATGAATTGAATTTAAAATAACTTTGGTCAAACATCGTAACTTTTTATGGGAGTATTATTAATATTATTATTATTACTACTACTACCACTATTATCATCATCACCTTCATTCTGTCTGTAAGACTCATTGTTTTCTGCAGAATGAAGTGTTGCTTCTATATTACTCCGTAGAATTTTTCATTTGATCAATTTGGATGCTGTTTGTTTTTAATCTGGAGTACTATTTACCTGTAACTTGAATTCCTATCCTTTTAAGTTTTTTACAGTCATTTTTGTGGTCTGTTTAGGATCTGAAAAGAAAGGAAGATGCCATAAAACGAGGTAGATCTCTGTAATGTCTGCACATACTTTCACTGGTTACATAGAACTGCACTCTTTCAGTCATACTCTAATCTGCATACTAATAATAATATTACTCCCTTCATCCCAATATAAGGTTACACATTAAAATCAACATGTTTATTGTGAAAGCTTAAAGTGTGGTTCAAATTTATGTAGAGGAGAGATAAATAATGTGATTCACACAACTCTCTCCTTAAAAGGAAAGCGGAACCTTACTTTAGGGCATATCAAAGAGGAAATGTGAAACTTTTTATGGGATAGCCAGATAGGTGTTATAACAATAATAGTACTACAGTTCTATGTTTTTTGTATTTGAGCAGCTGGGATCATTATAGAGGAAAAAAATTGGCCACCATTCTTTCCTATAATTCACCATGATATTGCAAATGAAATTCCAATCCATCTACAGAGGTTGCAGTATGTGGCATTCATGACAATGTTGGGTAAGTCAAAATGTAGTTTCACTGAGTGTGAGATTTTCCGTTCACACGACTTCTCTGCATGTTTTGCCAAATATTTCTTACATATGTGGTATATATATTTTGGAGATCCAATGCCCTTTTGATTTTTATGTATGACAGTCCCTCCATTTATTTCCCCCCTTTTTGGAGTTGTTTTAGTCTGGATATGATAAGAGGAATGCCTATGATGTAATGTATTTCGGGGTAATGAACCGCTCCCTCTGTCCCATAAGAGCCTTGTCTCTCAACTTCTTTTTGTCTCAATTAAAGTCATATTTCTCAACTTGTTTAGAAATATAGGTATATTTATGCTTTCTATGAGTTGTACCTTAATAAAATAAAAAAGTTGCAAACTCATCAAAGTGGACTCTTTTTTTGTGGGATGGAGGGAGTCCAACTCAAGCACAAAAAACTGAAAGGCGAGCGGCTACAACTTCAAATAGTCCAGTAAAAAACCTCTAAAATTTTGCATTGATGAAATAAAGTAGGTTTTTTTTGTATATCAATGCAGTGCTTTCATTTTTCTGCCAACACTAACTATTACTCGTCCTCAAATGTATACCTGACACATAAGATGATGTATTGACTTAGCAAATTCCTAGTTCCTTTTTTTGGGGGTGAAGGAAGTTTAGAGGTTTAGGAATTTAAAATGTCTTTGAATGATATTACCAGGCTTGCAATTTTTGTAATTTGTCCATAATTCCATATATGTCAAGACTAAATGTGGGGATGTCATGAAAAGATTGCATTTCTTACTAAATGTGGTTCATTTAAGGTTTGTACAGAGTTTGTAGTTACCAGTAGCCTACAGTATTATGGAGTACATTTTTTGAGTTAAAGAATTTTGTTGAATAAAAAAAATGAATGCAGTACACTGCTAGTAAGCCCACTTTTAGCTTTTGGCCACTTGCAGGTCTTGTAGTTTGTCTTGGCTGGAATGCAGTAGCTGTTACCTTGGCTTGGATCAAAGGAGAAGGTTAGTTCTGGGGTTTAAAACAACTCTGATACAAGCCAATATTTCTATTTTTTCAGCATGTCCGATATTAATAGAGGGGGGCATTAGATATTTTTCCAATATTTTCTTCCATGATAATCTGAAAATGAATATGTCAAGTAAATATGAGTACTTGAAATTGCATAGAACTATTGATGGATATCATCAATGTGATATCGGTAAAAAAGTTAAAAAAACAATGGAATACTGTATCGAGATTTTCAAACAGTACTAAGGGTTCTCTATCGATATTGGCACCTCTACAAATAAATTGTGGGTTTTGAGAAATGTGAGAAGGAATGAAGGATATTTATAATACAGAATATTATAACAATTGATATGTTTTAGGCATTGTTGACTAGTCGTCCCGGCATTTTGGAGAGCGTGATTTGAGTGTCGCCTAGCGACTGAAGGAGACTAGTCGTCCGGTCATTCAAATCGACACCTAGGCTACACCTAGCGACTGAAGGAGTGAAGTTTTTACACACGCACTCACACACTAGTAGAATTTCATGGTAGTTTCATAATACTCCCTCCCTTCCTAATTAGTATGCATTTGCCCACTTAATATTCATTCTTTTACCGACATATGCTATAAAATTAATTGAAAGTGGGTCTTTTTTGTGTGAGTAGATTTTAGATACTTCATTAAGGATAACAGCTTCTGTTTGTTTGTCACAGGTCCAACAATCTGGTTTCTTGCTATCATCTATTTCATATCAGGTGTCCCTGGCGCCTATGTATTATGGTACCGTCCCCTCTATCGGGCAATGAGGTGCTCCTCTTTCGTTTCTCTTTTCTGCTGCAAAATAAACTTCTCATTAAATACTCCGTATTAAAAAATGCTGCCTTGTGCTACCTACATACTCCCTCCGTCCCATTTTAAATCGCCCGTTTTGACTTTTGGGCATATTTAAGAAAAATTAAAAATAGAGTTGATTTTTCGAAATTGTCAATACTTTTTAGGAGATATGATGATGAATGAGAATATAATGTAGAGAAGAGTGACTTATTTTAGAGGTATTTTAGATATTTTATTTTTAAAAGTTTACGAAAACAACTAACAGACAATTTATTTTGGGACGGAGAAAAAAGGCAAACATGCAATTTAAAATGGGACGGAGGTAGTAGTAAATTCCTCTGATTATAACAAATTGATGTTTTTGAAGAACAAGTCTTTTGTCTGCCACCTAAAGAATAAAGGAAAGGCGACATGTGTTATGTCACTTTTGTATGTTGTATATTTGATAATTTTTTTAATTATAATTATTGCAGGACTGATAATGCATTGAAATTCAGTTGGTTTTTCTTGTGCTACATGGTGAATGTTTCACCTTCTTTTCAAAGTTTCAAGCTCTCTAACTGTTTGATGCTTTGAGATTAATTCTTCCCCTTTTGTCCCCTTCATTGAAGTTTCACATTGGATTCTGCATCATTGCTGCTGTTGCACCTCCCATCCTTTTTAAGGGGAAATCTTTGACGTAAGTTGCTTCTTCATCCTCGAACTCAATACTCAATCTCTTCCCTCCCAAAAAAGTTATAAAGTTTCAAAAGTTTCTCCAAAAAAATCCTAATTTTTCAAAGAGTAAATTCTATAATTGGTCCTTTATAACAGGGGGTTTCCCTATTTAGTCCTCTATTATCAAATATTATCCCAATGGTCCTTCTTTTATGGGTACCTTTCCACAAATAGTCCTTTTTTTGATCTTCTATCATGTTGGTGTTAATTTGAGGGCTAAAAGTGTAATTTCACAATGATAATATATCTTTTTTGTCATACACAATTCCAAAGGCTATTCCGTTTGCGTTGTTTGTGAATTACAGTCGCTTTTTACGACAATGATAGTCTACAAATGTGATCTTTCGTCAGAATCCTAGCCCATAATCATAGTCATTATTTTTGTGTTATCCGCTTAACCAATATCAGAACACGTCACTAGACATAATGGTGATGTCAAATTATATTTTTAGCCTTTAAGTTAACACCAACACGGCAGAAGATCAAAAAAAGGACCATTTGTGGAAAGGCACTCTTAAAAAAAAGACTACGGGGGTAATATTTGATAATAAAGGACTAAATATGGAAACCCCCATGTTATAAAGGACCAATTATGGAATTTACTCTTTTTCAAATTACTTTTCAATACTTCTCCACAAGAATGTTACCTATAAGTTCAATATGATGCATTTAGTTAAATTTACTTGAACATAGAAATGCAAGTTAATGACTTTTAACAGTTGTACTTTGTCAAAATTTAAAAGTTGGACCATAACTAAATAGGACTCATTTTCATTTGGACGGAGGGAATAGTATGCTTTTCACCTTGTCTTTTACTCGAGTTATGTGTCTTCAAGTTTGACATTTTACTTATTGTTCCTTTTGATCATCATCCTCCTGTTCACAGTGGTGTCTTGCCTGCAATTGAACTTTTAAGTGAGAATGCTCTGGTCGGGGTAAGTGCATCAAGATCTGTGTTCTTGCCTGCAATTGAACTTCTCACTTTTCAGCCAGAATGCTCTGGTTTGAAGTTTGAGCTTTGATATAAATGTAGAAAATCACAAGCTGAAGCTTGATAAAATTTGGTAAAGAGCAGAGTTTTTAAACGTTCCAACTGTACCATCATTTGAAGAGAAAAAAAAGACTAGGGGACATATTTAATTTCAGTATGTTCATTCTTCGTTGTCTTTTTTTTACTGCAGATTTTCTACTTCATCGGATTCGGATTCTTCTGCACGGAGTCACTGGTGAGCGTATGGGTCATTCAGGTCAGGTTCAGATATTTCTTTATATGATTCCCTGCTTTTAATTTCATATCGATCATTTGCAACGCCCTCAACGTGTCAATGTTTGATTCTTCTGTTACAAATGGATAAGTATTTTATATATATGCAGCAAGTGTACATGTATTTCCGGGGAAGTGGCAAAGCTGCAGAGATGAGGAGAGAAGCCGCCAGACAAACAATGATGGCGACACTAACATGACACAACTCCATGTTCCTCGTATATAGCAAACTCCATCGTTCATCTCGGGTATGTACGATAGATTTAAACATCTGCATCTGATTAATTGGCTTTTTCAATGCAAGTTCGTTTTCATTTCCAGTAGTAAAAGTATGTTTACTATGCAAAGCTCTTGACGAGTTGCTTCACTTTGAAAATGTGATAAAGTTTACGTAAATGTAATGGACCTCGGGTGCATGGGACTAGGGTGCGCCAAATGTATAGGGATATACCCTTATGGGAGGGCCGGCCTAAGGGTGGGAGGCCAAGATGCCCTACCGGACCATGCCCGTTTTTTTTCGGGAACCAACATTTTTAATATGTGTGTGTATAAAATACGGAGTAGAAACTTTAAATAATTAAACTTTAAGATAGTTATTATATTACGATATTTAATTATAATACTACAATTTTGTTATGCGTATTACTATAATATCGATTGTTATCGTTTTAAAGAAAATAATTTATATAATTTAATTTGTTAGGATTAATGTGTCCATTTTTGTCTCGTTGGAGCCGGCCTTGCCCTATCGTTTCACATTATTGAGATTGTGTTTTGTTACTTTTGTAGACTTTTTGAGGTTAGTTTCGTCTTTTGATTAGTCCCCAACTTCCCATTAATTATTATATAACTTCTTCCGTTCATTTTTTTGTTGTTGCAAGGACCTAACGTTCACACTCTTGACACACTCCGGCTAGTTTGACTATATTTCGGGATGTAAAGATTTTTTTCTCGGATTTTTTAAAACGTCTTAAAAGATAACTCTATTTTTTTTACTTATTTTATTTCTTTTTTTACTTCATACAAGTAGTAATGAACACGTGTGGAACAAGATTTCTATCTCACTTAAATAAATTACTCGTATAACCATATGAGTATTTTTATTGTTAATATTTTAAATATTTTTAAATTGCCCAATACATCTCTATATCAATTTTTGGCAACTTGTAGACTGAAGTGTTATATAACTAAATAGTCCCTTCGTTTTTTGTTTGTCCTTTTTATTATTTAAAGATTCAAAATGTACTCTTTTGCTTGTTTTTTATTACCCATTATTTTTATTTGTTTAATATATAAAATTTATTTTAAAATTTTATATCACTTTCTAAATAAATTGAATACAAAACAATTTATGTGTTCGTAAAAAAAGGATGGAGGAAGAAAACCGAGGGGGTCAGAGCAAAAAGTTGAAAATAGCAAGCCTTGCTCAATAATTTGGATATCTCTATTACACTGTAGTTTCTGTTTATAAATTATCAATCTATTAAAACATACTCCAAATAGAGTTATTTCTCTTTCTATTCTTTGTCATTAGAGAAAACTTAAGTACTACTCTTTCTGGTGTAAGACTATCTTCTTACTCATTCGTTGAGTCAAATTTTACTCTTTGTTAATTTATTTTTGTTACTCTTTTTGTTTCAATTGAAATCGATTGTCTCGGCTTAGGATGTTTAATTAAAATTATTTTCAAATCATTTTATATGAAAAATAGTATAGAATTTAAAAAATAAAAATTACATAATTTATATTGTCCGTTTTGACTTTGGGGCATATTTAAGGAATGGAAAAAATGGCATTGACCTTCCGAGAATGCCCTTGAAAAATTTAAAATGAAATGGGTGAATCTGTACCTCCGCACCCCTATCCGGGCTATCTCATACACACAAGAAACATGAATCACACAAACAATAAAGAATGGATGAAATGAAATCAAACACCAAACAGTCCAAATTATATCACACCAATATTTTTTAAGAGAAATTTCCTCTTCTTTACACAAACAATTCCGTAAAAAAACATACACCCAACACTGAAATTAAAACATGGAAGGAAAATAGAAAGGCAGTAGCTTCTGCAACAACCTCAGCAACAACAGTTCTACATTGAAGATTCAAAATTTCATCATGGAGCTCTTCAAGATTCAAGATGAACACAAGATCTGAAATTTTATCATATACCTCTTCAAGATCTGAAAAGGAAAGATTGATAGAAACATATGAAAATAGGAAAAATATTTGTAGGGAAACCATAGAAACTTACTTTACTGCGAAAATCGTAGATCCGAAAAGCAAAAAAGGCAGATCTGAAAGGTTCAAAAACCCTAGATCTTAAAAGCTAAAACACGATCAAAGACAAAACCCTAGATCTGTTATAAAAGGTGTTATTGGTTTAAAAAAGAATAGATTTAAAGAGAAAAATCTACAAAAGAGAAGGAGAAAAAGAATGATGAAGAAGAGATAAAATTTTGAATAAAGAGAAATAATTGGAAGAACACGCATGGCTTCAAAGAAGAAGACATCTACGAAAGAAACCCAAGGAAAAAAAGAAGTCGCAGAAGATGAAGGGCCTGTTTGGGAATAGCATTAGAGATTAGCGTTAGCGTTTTGAAAAAGCTATCTACAGCCAGCGTTTAGCGTTAGTGTTTTCAAAATAATCTGAACCGTTAAATTTTTATCCAAAACGCTAATGCTAATCTCTAACGCTATTCCCAAACAGGCACGAAGTGAGAGAGAGAAATGTGTGGACGAAAAATACCAGTAGAAGTAGAAAGGGAAGGAATAGAGATGGGTGAGTGGAAAATGAGGGGCTAAGGGTTGTAGGAGTGAGATATATTTAGGGGTATTTTAGGTAATCTATTTTTAAAAACTTACCATAATAGGAAACATGCAATATAAATTGGGACGGACGAAAAAGAAAAACAGGAAATTTAAAATGGGACGGAAGGAGTATTTAAAAACTATTAATCAAAAGATTTATAAAATTTTTAGAGTTTAAAGAGTACTCTATTTTTTTACTATACGAACTTTTAGAAGTTTTTAGTGCACTACGCACTTTTTATTACTATTTCACCATTACTCCATATTTTTAAGTGTGTTTATAATAAGTTTTTTGAAAAATGCTAGGGGTACACCAAAGGTGTACCCCATTTGTCCCCCACCCCCTCCATTACCACAAAAATGGGCAAAAATTTAAAAAAAAATTAAATAAATAAAAAGTAGATAAAAATGAATGGTGGAGAAGGGGGTGAGGGACAAATGGGGTACACATTTGGTGTACCCCTAACATGGCTCAAGTTTTTTTTGGGAAATGATTGGTTCACAAACACAATGGTCACAAACTTCACAAACATACTATTTGTGAACTTCCATGCATAAAATTAAATTGTCTAAATTGATTTTAAAATAAAATTTTAAATCATAAATAGTAAGTTTGTGAGTATTTTGTTTGTGAACATAGCATTGCTCGTTTTTTTTTGTACTCCTGCTATGAATTTGTATTGGTTTTAAGAGAAAAGAGCAAAATTGGGCCAGATTGGCAATAAATGTAACGTTGAGGACTGTGTACCAAGTGGCCATCTGTACACAATGTCAACCCGCAGTAATTGCATTGCCGGCCCATTCAGCTCACACGTGTATGACTATTACTTGCGGACAACTTTTTTTTTTCCTGAACTATTTAACTTTGATTTTTTAATTCATAAATAAAGATTACTGTATCATGGGAGGCCTAAAGGGTGTGCAAAATGGCCAATCGCACAGGACACCTTAAAATTTAGGGCACCATATTTTTAAATTTGTTAATAATTTTAAAGTAAAAGTATTCTAAAAATATAAAATAGGGCACAAAATCTAAATTTTGGAACGGGCCAATATTATTTTTTCATTTTTCGAGGCCGGCACCCATCCCTAAGAAAAGGCTGGGATGTGGGTGGGGACGCCCCACGAAGGGCGAGAGAAGGGGAGAAGGAAAAGAGCAATGGCACTTCTTCCCATTTCTTTTTTCTTTTTTTACAAAATACGGAGTATAATCTTTTTGATTTTTTTTCTTTTAAGAGTGTATCTATTTTTATAAATAAATAATTTAAAAAATTAAAAGCAAAATAAGTCAAAAAAGTGAAAAGTGATAAGCTATTATATGATGATTAATTCTTACGCTCTAACTCCCACAGTAAATCCCCACCCGATTCCAACCTTCACCTGTCAAAGTTTATCCTAGAGTTAACTAAACTTACGAAGTGCAATTGACGAGTTAGAGTCTGGACTAGGTGCAAGTTCACCGAGACATTAGAGGGTTAAAACATTAATTTCGTGAACAAAACACTGTAGACGTCCATCCATTATCATATGTGACACTAATTGACAACGATAATTTTAACTTCATTAGAACACAAGAACCTTAACTACTACTCCAACCCTATATTTGATACTCCCTAAAAATTTTGAAGATGCTTAAACAAATGTCTTAGGGACTCAAAATAAAAGTTGACCGATAAACAAACTAAAGATTGTGACATTATCTTTGCATCAAACAACTTAACTACTTAATTGGGTGTTTGACTGTTTGGTATTTTTTTAAAAAAAGTCGGCCATTATCTACGGATCAAACTACATTTTATGCTGGTATTGTTTTTACATTATAAAACTGTTTTGTACGTCGTATAAAACAAATGCCCTACTGGCCCTCTCCGCAAATACGTAATACTCCGTATAAGTTTGTTGACTGCTCTTTTTTGTAACAAACTTCCTCGGTCTTTGAAAAATTATTACAGTTTGATTTTTTTTTGGTGAAATTGTGACAATCTTTGGTTAGGAATTAAATATAGTTTAAAATAATTAAATATTATAAAACTTTGATACTCCCTCCGTCCTAAAATTAACTTTTCATTTGACTTTTCACGGTCTCCAATGCGACACTTTGACCACCAATATCTCAATTTTATATAAATATATTTTATAAAAATTACATATTTCAAAACTATGTGTCAAAATAAATCTACTGCTAATAAATTTATATGAAAATTCAATGTATTTTTTCCGTAATAAACGGACAAAGTTTAAAAAGTTTGACTACAAAAGTTAAACGGGGAAGTTAATTTTAGGACGGAATGAGTATTTCATAACTATATTTTAAAATTAATCCAATTTTACTAAATATACATTATATCTAAATATATTTGTCCATAAATTATGGTCAATTGATGCCACAGTTTGACCAAAAAAGTTAAACTATGACAACCTTTTAGAGACGAAGGAGTATCTAGGTAGAATCCGTTCATTTTCCCTTAGTGTCTGTTTGGTACACGAAATTGACAGAATTGGAATTAAATTAATATTTGAAATTCTATGAAACTAATTTGGGTGAAACCGAATTCTCCAATTTCAATTCTTTTGTGGCAGTATCAATTCCAAATTTACATATTTTGGTACTATCAGGAAGCAGAATTGCAATTATTGTTTCTAATTCTAATTTTATAATTTGAATTTCATGTATCAAACAAAGCTTTAACTATAACTTGAGTTCAAAGTTTTGTAATTTGAGTCTGAAATCAATCTTGATGCAGTAATAGTTTTAACTTAAATCTGAATATTAGATTATGGAATTTAAAGTCTAAAGTCTAATTACTTGAGACTAGAGTAAATTCTCATAATAACCTTTTTGATAAGATATTTTTTTCCTCAAATCAGTCTTCAATAAGTTCTAATCATATATATTCCATCTGTCCCAAATTATTTGCAACATTTCAAACCACGTGCAAAATATTATCTCTTTTAAAATCATTATATTTTCAAATTGGTAGAATAATAAAAAGTAAAAATTACATCATTCAAAAGTATATAAAAAGTTCTACAAAACAAGATGCGACAAAAATATTTTATTTTATCAAATGGTCAACTAAAATGAGTAAACAAACAAAAGTTATGGAGAGACCAAAAACAATAACTGTGGCATTCCTTTTAGGACGGAGAGAGTAAATGATACTTTACAATTTTTAACTATTTTTAATCTTCGCGTCAGGTCAAATTAGAAAAATAAATTTTGGAAGGGAGAGTACAAAATGGCCGAAGATCTTATCATCTAGCGAGACTAATTTTGGATTAAGTAATAAGAGTTGACCAAGCAATTGATCAATCGGATTTTCTTACGAGAGGAAAAAAAAGAGATTACGTTAGAATATAAATAACTGTTCCTGGACCACAACTACAAGCTTGAACTTTTGGTTGAGTTAGTTCCTTCAAAAACTGTGCTAAAGTAAAGTTCTGCAAATAAATATTTAAAGTTTCCCTTCTTCCATCCTGCTTCCTTCTTCTATCTCTAACACATTACAATAATTGGTTAGTAAAAATAAAAGTCAAATGGCTAATAGGCTCAACCGCCCCCCTGCTGGGATTTTAATTCCCCATTCGTCCCCTATAAATAAGCCCCCCACTAACTTCTCGCAATAATTCCATTTCTTAAATAAATAAATAAATTCAGCGAAATAAAAGAAAAATCCGGCAATTAAGAATGGTGTGCTTCTGCTTTCTGGTTGATCAGACGAGGGAGGTGCGGCGGAGCAAGCCGGCGGCGGGGACGTGCTCCCGGTGCGGCGGCGGCGCTAGCGTCGCCGACATGAAGACCGCCACGCGCTTCTGCTACGTCCCTTTCTACTCCAAGAACTGGAAGGCCATTGTCTGCACATTTTGTGGTGCCGTCCTCAGGTCTTACCACTAGGCTAGGATCCAATTTTTATTTATTTATTTAATTAATTAAAATACGGATTATTATTATGATATTTTTAATCCGTATTTCAATTAATTATTATACTAATTATTATCGTTGTATTAAAGTATTATTAATACACGCTAACAATGTTCACATTCACTATCCATCCATGCCGGCAGAGCATATATATGTGTACGTATAATTGTTCTGCAAATTTTGTCACATATATTATATTTAATGCATAAACAATATACTCCCTCCGTCCCGGAAAACATGGGAGTTTTGGTTTTGGAGAGGGATTTAAGGGGAGTGTAATTTGGTATTGAATTTCCAAAAATATCCTTTGATGTGATGGGTAAAAGTATGATTTGATGAATAGATTATTAGTAAAAAGGTATGATGTGATAGGTAGGGTATGAAAAAGTAAGGGGTAAAAGTGACTTTTTAATAGAAATAAGAAGTGTTTTTTGGGACGGATGAAAAAAGAAAGGAGAAAGATTTTCTGGGACGGAGGGAGTACATTTTGTGCTTTGGAATAAACATTGATATGTACATTATTGAAAGACATTATATATATAATGTTATGTGTACATTTTGGCACATCTCTTAGTTATTATGACAATTTGTACTAGGGGGTACAATTGTTATCTGATCTTTGTAATTCCAATTTCCATCTATTCTTAATTATTTATGATTTTTGAGGTAAACCCAAAAATTTGTATGAATATTGACATAAATCATGTCTATATTCAGTCAAATTTCAATGTACCGAGTATTTTCAAAATTATAATGATCGATTAATTAAGGAGTGAAGAATGTATAGCTATAAGCTGGTAGTTTACATGTTCTACCTAAGCAGGCAAACTCAAAACGCATGAATAGCATATTATGAGGTTGTTTGGCAGTGTGCTGCTTTTAATAATTTAATTTCTACTTTGAGTAGAAGTGATTTTACTCTATTTGGCATGTCAGCTTCGACTTTTCATCACTATTATTTTGTACACAGAACACCGTTTCAGAGAAGCAGGTATGAGGTGCTTCTACTTTCAGCTTTTGTGGAAATCACTTTATCCATAAGTTAATCACTCCCAAACAGGCTATTATTATTGGGTTGGTTACACTAATTATAAGAAGTATAATAAAATAATATGCTCCTTAATAATAATAATAATAATAATAGTAATAATAATAGTAATGTAAAAAATACGGAGTATATATAAAATAAGCAAATTTATTAGAATTTTACACACGCAGAGACAAAAATCAAGGGACATCAATTTTATATTCAAACAAAAGGAGTATGGAAAAATATGTCACTATTTCACATTGAATATGGGCAGCAAAATAACAGCTATGTATATATATGTGGACATACAGATACAAATATATAATTCCCATTATACCCCTGGTGTGCACATTGTTGGCATTGCATGTGGTGGCTATATATCTACCACTAGATGATGTATCCAAATTAAATTAATGCATTTTTCCGGGTCAGTATTCAAATGACGACAGGAAAGGCCCAACATTTGTGGAGATTTTTAGCTTATTCCAAGGAAAATGCTTGGAAAACCCCACATAGGGTATGTCTGTTGGAATTTTGACTCATAATGGGACAATCTCGGATGTAAATTCGGTAGGATTCACAAAACTATTTTTCAAAAATAATTATGGATAAATATTATTTCAAGTGAGACGAGTATTTCGATATATTGCGCGCCAAAATTGGTGCTCGGATGAATGAGAAATTAATTCACAAACTCAAACACTTGGAAGGGCCACGTATCCCACGTCGGATTTGAGACCCTTCAACTTCCTCTATTCATATGCTAGTCTTTAATAGCATTGTAAAGCAATTTATGGAGGGAGAACCAAGGGAGCCCTCGCACCCTGCTGTCTCCGCCGTCCGAACGCGTGATGGCGTGTGTGCGCCGTGACGCGTCATGATGTGGTGGACCGAATCCTTATCTTTTTACGAGACAATATTAAATACGTGTTGGCTTCGTTAATAACGAAGTGTTGGCATGCATGCACCATTGAAGTCACTTCGTGACCCTTCGGTTTGTCCGCGTAGTCCATCCCTTTGAGGCTCCGTTCCGTTCAACTTATTTTTTCTGATCTGATCTGATTATAATAAGTTCTGATCTGATCTGATCTGATTGGATCTGATCTGATCTGATCTGATTGGATCTGATCTGATCTGATCTGATTGGATCTGATCTGATCTGATCTGATTGGATCTGATCTGATCTGATTGGATCTGATCTGATCTGATTGAATCTGATCTGATCTGATCTGGTCTGATCTGATTAATTATGATTTAATTTAAAATTTCAAATCAATAATTTAATTTGACTTTATAATAACGTTTGAAAATTGTAATGATAATTAATATTATAATATAATCAATATTTTTTATTTAATGATTATTTTTTAATAAAATAAAAATAGTTAATTTATATATTAGAATAATCATTCATATTATAGTGTAATAATATTTTTTATTTTATGATAATATTTTTGTAAAATTAGAATTATACATTAGAATAAATATTTAATTTAGATATGCATTTAAAAGTAATTAAATTTAGATAATCAATATATAGAAGAGATAGTATTTTTATTAAAATATCACATCCTTATAAAAGATCAAAAGTTTAGAAACTCAAATTACAAGTAGCAATAAAAATATATTTTAAAAGTAGAATTAGATTGACATTGTCGATGTATTTTAAAACTAATTTTTCCGACGTCTAATAATTAAGGATTACTTTCTTAGCTTTTTATTTAACCTATTTCTAAAGTTTATTCTCTTTCATTTTTAAGAATAATAATAATAATAATAATAATGACGACGACGATGATGATGATGATCATAATAATAATAATAATAATAATAATAATATAATAATAATAATAATAATAATAATAATTCTTGAAGAGATCTTATTTTAATAAGTCCTGATCTGATCTGATCTGATTGGATCTGATCTGATCTGATAGGATCTGATCTGATCTGATTGGATCTGATCTGATCTGATTCGATCTGATCTGATCTGGTCTGATCTGATTTGATCTGATCTGATCTGGTCTGATCTGATCTGATTTTAATAAGAATAAGAAAAAATAAGAAAAAATAAGTTGAACGGAACGGGGCCTGAGTCTCTCCTCTCCTGTATAAGGAAGGCGAGTTCACATCAGATACTCACTCAAAGATTTACCATGTACGTTAGCGGTTTTATCCTGGGAGGGGATCGTCCACGTTAGCTATTACGGGAGACGGGCGATACTACCTTAAGGAAATCTCCGATCCGGTGACTCTATTTTCCTTCCTTCTCCGTTCAGTTTCCGACCACTAGCGATCTATTCTTTTATTTGTTTTTCTCGCTGTAAAATCCAAACGTATTATATGTTCGGATTATTTTATTTTATTTTTCTTCCCGATGTAATATTTGAATCAGACAACAACATCAAGTGTACACCAATACATATATAAGCTCACAGTGACTTAATTAATATCTGTGTACTTACAAACATTGAGTGACCGCATGTGCCTTTTTTGCTTTAGTGTACATGTGGTAGACTCCAAGTGGTGTTCCCTTAGCACTTCCATAAATCCAAATTTTGGCTTTTTCCGAGACTAACTAAGCTAAAGACTCCTTATCGCAACAACATTACTATTTTTAAAAGTTATCTAGCGGTATGTAGCTTTTAACATTTAATATTTTCAAAATTAATTTACAATATTAAAATTTTATCTAAAATGCTAACGCTAATCGTAAAATCTTGTTCCATAACAAAACGTAATCGTGTTACGGTTTAAAAAAACTAATTATATTAACCATAAAATAAATAGTCATACTCTTTCAAAGGCAAAAGTTTTTACGAATTTTGTTTTTAAGCATCTTTCAAGTCGCTTCATATCAATTAAATATAGGTATTCTTCTTATTACACTTCTAGTATGGTACTCTTGTTTGTACCCAACACATACAGTATCTTATTTAAGTGTTTTAGCAAAACTAATAAAAATATATATAAGTCAAAGGTTGAAAATAGTTTACCGAAAAAATCAAAATGAAAAAACTCAAGGACGAAGGTAGTATGAATTAAGAAGTACGATTCCCAAAAAACATAGTCGGTATATTCCGTACGGAGTGAGAATGTGCAAATCTTATTAAAAAGAGATTTTGTTTTGATTATACATGTAAAATTTTAAAATAAAACTTATATGGAGTATGTTTGAAAATTGCACCAAGTGTTTAACAAAATATATATGACATATCTATATTATTTTATCAAATAAAAACAATTTTAAAAAATTTAACCGTATAAATAGTACTCGTAATTGGAAAGAAAATTTTAGGTTAGGAAATAATGAGGAAAAAAAATTTTAGGAATGTATTACTCCATATGTCCTAAAACTTTCTTCCCAGAGCACTATTTCAACTTCACGAGAATTTATATTTATTTGTGTTTTTTCATGGCCTATATGATAAAATAAAATATTTTTGTCACCACTTGTTTTGTTGAACTTTTGATGTAGTTTTTAAATATGTATGTTTTATTTTTTATTTCTATACCAATATTTAAATAAAATAGATTGAAAAAATTTGAGATTTTTCTTCGTTTTGCGCAACGGAAAGAAAGTTTTAGGACGAGAAGAGTATTCGACAGTTACGTTGAATGAGCCAAAGGTTAGGTTTTAGTCACATTGGGACTTTCTTATCAACTTGTTTAACATTTCCCAGCAATTTCGGAGTAATTGCGAATGAACCCCTGATTTGTTGATAATTACCGTGTCATATTCATGAGGGTAGGTGCAAAAATTGAAGACAGGATTTGAAACCTGCTAGTTCAGTTGAAATCCACTAGTTCTTTTATTATTGCTTATTCACTAAGCAATTGGAAATGCCAAAATGTTTGAGCTACCCTATGTACTTCAATCTTCATTTATTTCAAAATGGTGAATGACTACTAACAATATGTTTTGACTTATAATTGGGCTCTACAACATTTGCCCATGCATACATGGGGTAGTCTTTGGACCATGCTACACTTACACCAAAAAATGTATCCCACTTGTACACCACAGTTTTGCACAAACATTTTGATGGTTTACACCGACACAAGTGTTGGTGCGTTAACAAAAATTTACACAGACACAAATGTTAGTGCGTTAACAAAAATTAGTTTTACACCAACACAAAATGTTAATGCAAACCTGCGGGGTACAAATTGGGGTATAAATGTTAGGGTACACATAGCTTAATCCGTAGTCTTTTTGTTACTTTTGTCCATTTTTATTTAAAGGCCAATCTTTTCACATTATCAAAGAGTATCAAAGTTTCTACTTTCCAATTATTTAAAAATTATACCATTTCCCTCTAATTTTAAAATTGTACAAATGATCTCTGAATGGTTAGAAATGTTACATTTGTGGTCCTTCGGCATCAGATTTGGAAATACAGAAATTACACGCTCGTCTAGTGTTAGTGTGAATTTATCTAAACTAATATATCACACTTATATTTTGTAATAGTTTTTCTCAAACATTACTTTTTATATTTTATATCTCTTGAAAGTTCAGATAAATATATGTTCACGCTTTAGTCATCGATAATTGTATTCAGGGTCGGCCTGAGGGTGGGTCGAGCAGCCATACGAGAATGGGCCCAATATTTTAAGGGGCCCAATTTATATATACTTCCTCCGTTTTTAAAAAGGGTTCCTATTTTGACTAATGGGTGCAATAAAGAGTGTGTATTTGTAATTGTCTTTCCAATTTTGCTCTTGATGTGATGAGTAAAAGTAAGATGTGATGTGTAGATTATTAGTGAAAATGTATGATGTGATAGACGTAATAAGGAAAAGTATGGATAAACGTGATTTTTAAATAGAAAGTGAAAGTGTTAAAAACTAGAGAGAGTATAAAATTGCAAAGCCCAATCTTCAATATGCTAAGAGGTGCTCCATCCACCTAAGAAACTAAGTTTGCTCTTGCATAAGTCACACAATAAGATATATATATGTATTGTTTTGATTTTATTAAAACTTCCAATTATTTAGAAAAAGAAACACAAGAAGTATCTAATATACTTGTTTTATGAGCTTATAAAAATAGTTCAAAAATAAATGAAAAAATTGTTTATGTTTTATCTAAAAATTAATTTGAGTACTTATACCTATTTTTTCAAAAAGTAAAAATCTAAAAAATTGTTGTCATCAATAAAAATGAAGAAATATTTATTAATTATACTTCAATATATTAAAATTAATTTTTTTTACTTTTTCTCGTTTCAATCAACTAAACGTATGTATGATATGTTAAATACGAATTACGAAGTACTCCGTATTATATAAGAACACATAACATAGCCTTTACTCTTTAAAAAAATAGAATTGCCTTACTATTTTGGTATTTATTAGATATTCATTATTCATCTTTAATAGTAACAAAAAATACAAAAAAATAGAAAGTGTGACGACATATGCGAAATGATACGGAGTATTGAAAACTAGATGGAAGAGTGAAAAAACTCAAATTAAAATTCCTTATTAATTAAAACATTACTCTTTTTATTATAGTTGATCAGATCGTTGACCCCCTGGGTTGACGGATTAACCTTTGACCCACTAGCTCATCTAGGTCGATGTCTGATTTGATTTTCAAGACATTAGTTTGGGGAGGTAAGTAAATATAAACTCTTTGCTATGATTTTTCATTTACTCATTATGTTATATTACTATTATATTAATTAATTGACATTTAAACATAATTATTTTGCATACTTTAAATCTTTAAGCCATTAGGGGTAAGGACTTTAGGTCCTTTTTTTCCGTCTTGGCGTGGGCCATCGAATTCACAAGATGAGCCCTGGCCAAATTCGAATGCCTGACAACAATCAATCAAGCTCTTCATCATTCGATCAACTTATCTATCTATAATCTATCCATGACATTTACATCAAGGTCCGACAGGTATATTGATGAATGTGCAATTAATGATCTTCTAAATATGGGGCAAAAATATCACTGGTGTAACATTTTTTTATAGAATTTAGGATGTGGTAAGAATAACTAGATTGGATAATAAAACACTTGACCTGAATCACATTAAAATATTGAACCTAATCGATTAGTTAGTTCAACTCAAGAGCTTATATACCGATTATTTTATTCTTAGACTTTCGATATGGGATGACACTAATAATTTTTAAAAATTTAGTGACCATTGACACGATTTTTAAAGGAGTTTATTTGTAGAATTTTTTGTTAATAATTCGAGAATAATTAGTGAAAAAAACTCAAAAAGTATGATACCATAGTGTGCTATTAGGCTCATTTAGACATCTTATAGTGCTCTATTCTACCCTGATATGGTTCATATTTCATCTAATTAATATTTCTTCTATCAAATTGTTGATGTAAGACTATCACACGAGTTGAGAGTGAGCTAGAGGGTGAAGTTAGGGGTAAGAAGGATTTTGGCATGAAATGAAAAAAGGTGCGGCCTTGGGCCCGTGCAGGGTGTTCAACGGTGTTATTAGAACCGGACCAGACCGGCCGGTCGAACCAGTTGACCTGACGAACCGGGTCGACTTGTCCGGGTCTTGGGTTTAGATTTTTTTTTCTTTTTCTACCAATAAAAGAAAATAAAATAACAAGAGTAAGAATTGAACTCAAGACCTTGAGTCCTTGACCCATAATAATTGTAACCACTTAATCTACTAAAGAACTTGTTAAGAATGAAAAACAATATATATAGCTTCTATGATAAATGAATTGTGTAAATTAAAAAAAAAACTTCTAACTATTTGTAAAAGTGAACATTTTGGTGTGGTGCACTTATATTATACTTTTAAATTTTTTTGACTTCATTTTGTACTTTTAAAATCATTCAATGTAAAAAATAAAGATTATTTATTTTTATATTAAAATAATAATGAATACTTTATATCTAAAAAACATTATCATTTATAAAAAATCAAGAAATATCTATTAATTATAATAGAAATAGAATTAGAGAAAAAACATAAATTTAAAAAATTATATTTGGCAATGTTTATTTTTATCTAAAATTAAGTATAACTAGTTTATACCTAAATTTTTATACTTTTTTGAAAAAATGAGCATTGGTTTGTTTTTTAAGTATTTTTTTGACATTCACTATTACTTGTGCCTTTTTATAGTAACAAAAATAATAGAATATAAATAGAAATTGTGAAATAGTATATGCACAATGATTTTTAAAACTAGATGAAGAAGTAAAAAGTAAAAATTTTTCATGAAAGGGAAAAACATAAGTTAAAATATTTTTATTGACTAAAAATATCTTATAATATAATACTCCCTCCGTCCTGAAATTAATTTCTCACTTTCCATTTTGGGTCGTCCTAAAATCATCTTCCCATTACTTAAAATGGAAAGTTTTTATTAAGCAAATGACATTAATACCCCTAACCAAATATACCCACCCAATTTCTCCATCATTCAGAATTCACAACACTCACCCAAACAACTCTATCTCTCTCTTTCACCGTTTCACACCTCTTTAGCACCAATATTTTCTCTCCATCTTTTACATCTTTGCCATTTATTATCTCTTCATTCAACTCTTAAAGTTTCGTGTTTAATTTGGTCTGCACCATCACCCCTTTTTGCTCTATACATCGTTATGGTCATAGACCAAAGCTCCATTCCGGAATCAATGGTCGCCGCATCTTCATCCCTGACTCCATTGTCGTATAAGGAGTTCATAGATTTAGACAGTGCGATTCGATGGTGGCCCAAGCAAAGCTTCCGGGATGAGATTTGCCACGCAGATCTAGCTGCTATATGTTGAGAGCAATCATATCTCAGATCTAAATCGATGCGAACAGTGACGATTTCGACTCTCTTGGAGTCAGCGACCAGAGTTCATTTTTTTTGTATGTATTTGTGTTTTCTGTGATGACTCTTCAAATTGGGCACCCTGATTCCAATTATTCGTTTCAACAATCATTTTTCAAGAGACTTTAATTTTGTGCTGTTTAAAGGGCGATAAATCTGATCTGTGATTCAGAATGTGAATTTGGAGGATAAGGGGCATTTTGGGAAAGTCAATGCAATTTTCACACTTTCTTAAAAATCACCTCCGGTCAAACCGGGAAGTTAATAATAGGACGGAGGGAGTATAAAATAATGTTATTTTTAATATATTTGACCGGGTCGTTGATCCCCGAGTCAACCGGTTTGACCGATTAACTTTTGACCCAGTCACTCGTTTGGGTCGACGTCTGGTCCGGTTTTCAGAATATTGGTTTTCAACCGCACATGGGCCAAAAAAAATAAGGGCCTAATATTTCTAGAGTTAGTAGTATTAATTAATGCACGGAGTAATAAGAAGCCCAAAAAAGAAACACAGTCCAATCCCAGCCGCAAACTGGAACGCGCGGAAACCGTAGGGCGAAGACGGGAGGAAGGCGACTCGCCGCATCTTCACCGCTGCCGGCTGCCATCCTGACGGCCACGCCGCCCATCGCTCCCGCATTCACTTCAGTCTTCCGGTATGATTGTATGATTTATTTTATTTTAATGATCAAATCCCTAATTTTATTTGTCTCTTAAATTTTAATTGTCCGATTTGTGTTTTCTTCTTCTTAAAATACTTGCAGCAGGCGGCCCATGTTCAGGTTCCCATCTTGACTTACACCCCGTTTATTTTTTTAATTTTAATTTACTCTTTCTCTCTGTTTTCCAGTATTAGGGTTTAGGTCCAATTCGTCGCTTTCACGATTCTTTTCTCTTCTTAACGGGCCGCTGCCGTCTTTGCTTCTCTAAGCTCGCCGAGGAGTGTCGGTCTCTGTGCAATAGCAAGAATAATCTTGCTAAAAGAGAAACAGAAATGGTGACAGAACCTACTGAAGAAGAAGGTGGAAAGAAGATATTTTGGAGAGGGGGAGAGAATGAGAGAGGAAGAGGGAGAGAGAAAATTGATCTTTATTCATGATGTGTGATGAAAGTACAAGGCCACCTATTTATACAAGTGAATGATCAGCTAACAGACCCAACACACTTCTAACCAACTAACTACCACTAACAACCACTGCCACATCAGCTTGGCTATAACA